CGGCCCCCGCCTCCCTCGCCCCGCGGGGCTGCAGCTGGAGAGCCGTGACCAAGCCCGCAGCTGCCCGCTGGCACTGCCCGGGGCCAAGTCTGCCCCACGCGCACACCCTCCCCCCAAACCCGGCCACCTTTATGTTTAGGAACAGGCTCTGGAGCAGGTTAAATTATCAGTTGTGTGCTGAAAGGAGCAGGGAGGGAGCAGCATCCCAGCATCCACACCCCCAGCATTCCGGTTATGCCCGCTCTGATCCCCTGGTGACACTTCCCCCTGGACCTGCATCACCTGCAATGTTATCCAGGGTGAGGTGTCCCCCGGGACGGTGGCCCTGCGCCCCCAGGGCCTCCAGCAGCCAGGAGCTGCCGGTTGCCCAGGGGCCAGCACTTTTTGGGGGTGCTGAGAGCCCCCTGGAGCCATGTGGGTGCAATGGCCAAGCTGTGCACCAGGCATCGCAGCTGGCGGAGGCTGGGAGCGATGCAACGGGTCTCACAGTGGCTCTGGGAGTCCCACCAGCCCTGCACCCCCTGGGACGGCAGGTCAGTGACCCACAGGCGCAGCCCCAGGCTCCCTCCTCCCTCCTCCGTGCCAGCACCCGAGACCCCCCCGGGGTGCACCATCCTGGCCCCCAGGTCCCACTCAGCCCCGGGCTGCTGAGCAGGCACTGCCCAAAATTGCACATACAGCCAGGCCTTTAGTTCTCCTCGCCACGGGGCCGGGATTGGGGTGAGCCGGGTGCCCCCATCACTTGCCGTTTACAGTCAAGATGCGTGCGCAAGCCGGGGCGGGGAGGCACAGCACTGTGCCACAGACTTGGCCCCTTGGCCAGGGGTGCAAACCCCTTCTTCAGCCACATTCCCCCCATCTGCCCTTACCTCGCTGTGGCCCTGTAGGTAATCCCGTAGCTTTCGGAGCTTCACGCTGACCCACTAACACCCGTGGCCATGGGGCCAGAGTCCTGCCCTGCCCTGCACCGGGCTCAGCCCCGCCGGATTTGTGCCAAACTTCCCGCAAAGGAGCTGGGGGGTCGCAGGAACTGGGGCTCGCCCCATCCCTCCTCCCTCCTGTCACCAGTGACAAACGCAGCCTTAACATGGGAGGGCGAAGGAGGAGAAGGAAAGCCCGGGCGCGGTTTACCTGTGGCTTTCTGCTCTGAAGCCAGTGAGGGTTGGGTTGGTTTTGTTTTTTTTCTTTTTTATTATTCTGTTTTACATTCGCAATTTGAATAAAATCAGTCTGGCTTTAGCAGCTGTGTTGGCGTCCAGGCAGTGCTGAGTGGGCGGCAAGTGGCTCCTGCAGTGCGGGTGGGGATTGGGGATGGGGTCCCCCATTGCACCCCAGTCCTGCTGCCCTCTGAGGCCGAGCTGGCGCTCCCGGGGGGAGCATCAGCTTCAACCCAGCAGTGCCCCTTCACAGCTGCTCCCGGGCAGCTCTGGTGTTGCATTGTCCCATGCACAGCTTTTTATTAACCATCCCGGTTAATTTTATTAATTCCTCGTCCCGGCCGCAGAGTGAAGAGCCGGGACAGCAAGGGTCGGTGGAGCAGAAGGGAACGGGCTTTGTCCCCCCGCCCAGCCCAGGGGCGGTGCAGCCGGGGCTCCAGCCCTCACTGCTCGCCCAGCGTTTGCTGGCGTGAGGGGAAAGCTGTCATTCGGTGTTTGGTGGGGACCTGGCACCATGTGGGGCCTGCTGCTCTGCGGGGGCTGGCTGCTGGCCGCCGGCTCCCCGGGGGGGGCCATGGGGGGCTGCTGGCACCAGTGCTGCCCGGGCAGGAACAACGCCTGCTGGGCCCCAGGCGCCCGCCGGGCTCGCTGCTACTGTGACTCATACTGCGAGAGGACAGGTGACTGCTGTGAGGACTACCATGCCGTGTGCCGCCGCGCCGGTGAGTATTGGGACGGGATGGCACCGGCTGGGCCCCCTGCTCGGGGGGGAGCCCCAGGGCTGGGGGTGCCAGCCTGGGCTGCTGCTTGTGGTGGCAAGTGTTTGCTATTATCTGTTAGCCCCATACTTTGAGTGGTAACAGGAGGTGTCTGGGGATGCCAGCTGGGCTGGATTTGGAGCAATATCCCAATTTTCTGCTTTTTTCCACGCTGAATGTCTGGCTGCTCCCTGTGCAGTGAGAGAGCCCGCAGGGGTGGCCTCTGGTCTGCAGCTGAGAATTACGGGATGACAGTAGCGCTGTCCTTGTAAGCCTCAGAGCTGTCAGTGTGGGACCTGGGTGGGATGAACCCTGGCATCAACCCCTGCCACTGCTGCGGGCGGTGCCTTGCACGGGGGCACGGGAACTGGGGCCGGTGGCTGCGCTGGGGGTGACAAACAGAGTGTGGGCTTGGGGGGTGCAGGGCCAGCCCACCCTGGGGACCCAAACCCGGACAGGCGCCGGCCGCGGCCCCCTGGACAATTGCAGCAGTCAGCCCTCCCTAATCTCCAGGATATTAGCGGGGTCCCAGCTCAGCGCGATGCAGAGCTGCGGCAGCGGCGCGGGGATAAAGGCCTGCGGAAGCGGTGCACAATGCCACCATGCCGGTGGCTGGCAGGGCAGCCTCTGCCCGGGGGTTGGGGGAGAGGGGCCGCCGGGGTCACCCTGCCCCTTCTCCTGCCTCCCCTCTCCCCGTGCTGCATCTCCCCTTCTCTCCTTCCATTTTTCATACTATTGAAGCTCTCTTTTCCCTCCTCCATTCTGCCTGCTCCCCTGGCCCACTGGCAGCAGTGGGCTGCGCGGTGGGGCCCTGGGGGCCATGGAGCGGGTGCAGCTCCCCGTGCGGGGTCGGCAGCAAGGCCCGCAGCCGCCAGGTCACCGTCCCACCCCGGCACGGAGGGGAGCCCTGTCCCGACCTCAAGCAGCGCCGCGGCTGCCTGGGGGAGCACCCGACCTGCGGGACGGCCAAAGGTAATGTGGGTCCCGCGGGGATGCCCACCTCCCTCGTGCGTGACCGTCTCCTGGTGCTGCCGTCCCCCCTGCCTGTCCCGGGGCGTCTTTAACCGTCTGTGTGTGTCCCCGGCTGCTCTTCTGCCAGAGGTGGCCAAGATATTACCTGACTCCTTCAGCCGGGACTTCAGGGATCCCTGGCGAAGAGCTGGGCTGCTGCTGCTGGAGGAGCCATCCAGGTGGGTGTGGGGCTGGGGCCCCTCTGCACCCCCCCTGCCACAGCCATGGCCCCTCTGCACCCCTATACAAAGCCATGGTCCTTCTGCACCCCGTTCTAGAGCCGTGGCCCCTTTGCACCCCACCTGGAGCCATGGCCTCTGCACAACCCCCACCCCCCAAAACCATGGCCCCTTTGCACTCCCTCCTAGAGCCATGGCCCCTTTGCAACCCCCCCAGAGCCATTATCCCCCCCCCAACCATGGCCCCTTTTCACCCCCCAGA